AATGGTTTTCAAAAAAAACCCAAAACCCCCCCCCCCCCCCCCCCCCCCCCCAATGGCATGCAGGACTATGAGTCCACCCCCCCCCCCCCGCGATTACGGAGCCCCTCACCACCAATATCGAGCCGGTACCCACGAAGGGGTCGAAGCAAAGCTTTCCCTTCCCGACGAGGGCCATGTTGGCCATCACCAGCGCCAGCTCGTTGTCCATGGAGGTCGGTCCCAGGTAGGGCCTCTTCTTCAGGTCGAACGCGGCCACCAGGTCGCGGTTGCCCTGGGCGACCTCCCTTCCGAAGTACACGTGCTGTCAGCGTGGTGGTGGTGGTGGTGGCGGCGGTGGTGGTGCGTCGGCGCGGTTGTGTTTTTGTTGCTGCAACGAACGCTCATTGTAGCCGGTTGCCTCTGAAAGTACACGTGGTGTTGGTTGTTTCGCGGTGGTGATGTGCGGTCGTGGTTTCGTTTCGTGTTGTTGGATGCGTTGTTGCCGGGAAGGCTTGAGTCCGATCCCTTCTAATCTACACGTGCCGTTGTCGTTGTTCTTGGTGGCACCCGGTCGTCGTTTTGTTTGTGTTGTTGCATGCGTTGTTGCATAGAAGGCTGCAGTCAGGGTGTGTTTTTGGAGGCTGCGGGGGAGTAGGATCGAGAGAGGATTTTCGCGTCGATCCTGAAACAAGCGCGCAGACCCGACATGGCAAAGCACAGAGCGAATTACCTACACGTTGCGACGGCGGGTCCCGAGAGAATCTTACTGAGCACAGAGCGGAGGGGGGGTGGGGCACCGTGCGGGAGAGACACACAAATAAAACAGAAAGGTACGCATACACAGCTCAAAACAAAACTGTGCGGGCGAGTCTGGTCGATAAATATCAGGACGGCTTTCAAATGTGAGGACGACCACGACCACCCGTGAGCTGTTCCTATCGTGTCTGGCCGAAGAGTTCACCGCCACCACAACGACAGCAACAACAACGACAACAACAACAACGACGACAACAACAGCAACCACCGCATCATTACCTCGGGCAGCCGTCCCTCTCGGTACTCGTCCTCCGACTCGTAGTCGCCAAACACCTTCGGGACACAAAACACGCGCGAGCAAAACTTCCGTAAGGGGCGCTGGGTCGGGGGGGGATGTCCCCGGACTGACTTTTCTTAGCAACTGACCACCTGTAAACCAGTCGAAACTGGGTTGATTCGGGGGCATAGAACACCTGCGGCAGCCTGGGCGTGCCAGAAAATAGCGTCACGATTCTCAAGTACTATTCTATTGTTTTCATTTTATCTTGGATCCCGCATACCACCGCCGCTAAGTAGCACTTTCCGACATCCCAACGCACACAGGCACACCGCTATAAAATAACACCAGACCACTTTATAGAAACATTCCAGAACAACCTGGGAAGGATGATTGCGGGAGCGTGGCTGGGAAGTTGGAGCGAGCAGGGGCATACAGGCGTGGTACGAATGAGTAGAGGGCCACCCGTCTTGATTGCGCCGCACATACACGTGCGGCGAACGGCTGGACTCAAGAGATATCCTACAAAACAAAGTCCCGGAACACGCAAACCAGCATACCTAAAACGACATCACACAAGGAAGGTGCACAGCAACAGATGGTAGCAAGGCCGAGAGTACGAGGGAGTAAAAACCAGCACAGCAGTGTAGGCAAGGCCAACGGCAGTGGAAACCGCAGCACAGGTCAACACCGCCAAGCAAGCAGAACAGCAGGGATAGATTACAGCAGCAGCAGCCCCGCCATCGCAAGCCAAACGCATACTATCATCGCGCTCGCTAAGCGACGCTCATCACGCCCAAAGGGGTGTTAGCACGGTGCGGTGCGCCCCACCTGAAAGAGGTGCTGCGGATTCCGCAGCCTCACGCGCCCCTTGAACGGCAGGAAGGAGAACACCATCCTCAACCGCTCCTGCTCCTGCAGCTTGACGGAGTAGCCGGCGGACCCCACCTGAAAACACACACGAAACAGTTGCACGCGCGCGGCTGCAGCGCAAATCAACAAAATATGCGAAGGATGCCACCAACAACGGGTAGACGCAGCAGCCGTTACCCGTGTATTGATGGGCCATTACGTGAGAACAACAACAGCAGTGGCACAACAACAACACCCCCCTCCCCTTTCCCCTTCCTTCCTGTCGTACCGTAACGGACCAGGTGACGTCCTCGGCGAAGAAGGGCCGCTTGATTTCTTCCGGGAAATTTTTCACGGCTTCGGCCGCCTCCTCCGGCGTATCCCCCTCGCCCCACAGCTCCAACACCTGAAAAATCATGCACGGTGGTAGAAGGGTAATACAATTTGAGACCGCCCGGCACGAAAGAGAACATCGCAAAGCAACAAAAAACTAGTTCGTCCACTGAATCGTACGCTGCGCCTTGTGGAAACCAATTTTTCTGCTTTCTGTGGTCCTCTCGACCCCACCGGATTATAAATTCGGAAGGGGGAGAAAATCGGCCCTTGGTTGGGAGTTGAGCGTTTTAGAAATTGATGTGGCACGTTCCATGTCGCCCCGTTGTCCCGCTAGAGCAAGGTGAAAACCGTCAAAGACAACCATGGAACATCATGCACGCGAATCGATTTGAAGATCTACGTTTTCAGGATCTTGGGGGCATTGGCAGCATCTGGCATGTCCAAGCGCAAGGAGTCCTCATCGAGATCATGCATGCTTCCTTCCACTCCCGATCCCTCGCCCCGAAAGCAGCATCAACGCCGAACCGAATGCTCGCATCATCAGGTACGGAAAACAACCCCGCGTCGCTGCTCATGTCATATCATGCGATGAAACTACTACTACCGGTGGAAACAACTCCGTTTTCGGGCTCAGGTTTGGTAGAGTTTTCTGCTGGTGACAACGGCACACGATCTCCGGGCTCTGCTGGTGGCAACCGCAGCACAGCAGTCCTTTCGCGCCAATCGAGAGTGTTTTCGTGGTGTTCTCGATTAGCCGTACGCTAGTGGCGGTGTTCTCGTCGATGGTCTTGGTGGCCTGGACGTTGGATTGTTGTTGTTGTTGTTGTTGTTGTTGTTGTTGTTGTTGTCTTCACATTAAACTCGTGTCAGTTGCTAATCCCAACATCTAGCAAATGTTGGCGAGAATTCTGTCGGTGTTGGTGCTTAAAAAGTAAAGCGCTGTGGATACCACTGATGATGCCGTCGGCGTCGGGGTGTTGGATGTTAGTGAAAATCCTGTGGGTGTTGGCGACAATTTTGTGGGTGTTGGTGTCGAAACAGGTGCTACGACTGCCTACGATGCCGTTGGCGTCGGTGTTCACTTTCGCGTTGGTGTTGACGCCGCAGGCAGTGTTCGTGTGATTGCGTAGTAGTCGTCGGATCTGTAGACGGGATGACTGCTGTTTCAGGTGCCCTGCACATAGGCGTACGTCGGGTAGTACGACCAGAGGACGATTGTGCGGAGCCCCCCGCGCCAGCTGGCTTGCACGTCGGCGCTCCCTGTTCTTTCCCCCTACCCGGGGTGAATGACAACAAGCGTCAAGACATCAAGCATCACAGCTCCTGTAAGGCATACGGGGCATGCCAACTCAGGGTGTACGAACAGGCAGCGCTTCCCGTCTTAGAACTATGGGTGCTGGTCTTGGCTGGTCGGATGGTTTAAAACCACGGTAACGGGGGTGGACACAGTCAGTCTGTGCCCGGTGGGGTTAGACGTCATGTATTTTTCGCGGGCTGCTGCCGTTGTGCTCGGGTGGGTGTCGATGGGCACAAGGATGGTCAACGGACGTGGAAATGTACAGCGACACGAAACGCAACACACGATTGATTTCAAATGTACCTTGCGAATGAGTATTGCTCTTGCCGCCACAGCGACGATGACCTCCTCGGACGGCACCTCCACCACGAGGAAGGGGCTTGTCTGCGAACGCGACGGATACGTGGTGTAGGCGTGTACCAAACAGAACACGAGTAAGGAGATCCGAGAACACTAGATACCTATGAAGGAGTCGGAGCGGAGCAAAATAAGAAAATAAGGAGGTGGCGCGGAGCGAGAGGTTCTCCTGCTGATGTTGCCGAATCCGACGCCGATCGTACCCAGTCTTTGGGGGGGGGGGTTCCCAGGGTTTGATGTAGCTGCAAGGAAAACGATGCCATGCATCTGCACATCTGCACACAACTCGTCTGATTTTTTCCATTGCTCCTGGCTGCCTCCACTGCTTGTGGGAGCCACGGGACTGTCAGCTTCCTTGGCAAACACCTACAGCTCCGCTGCACACAAGCACACAAACGGAAGCACACCAGCAAAGCACAGCGCGCCAGTGCAGCAATATACTACGCTCATGATCGTGCCTAATTGTCGTGCTATTGCTAACGGCTGCGATACCCCCGTAACGTAACGTGGTGGTCACCTTGTGTCCCCGGGATACGATGGCCCAGGCCGCATCATGATCGTACGCGGCCGCCGGCTCCACCCCGTTCAGCTCCAACAAGGTGTCCAGCTCGGGCAGCCAGAACGACTCATGCTGCTGAGAAAAATGGATTAGGTATTTCATGCGTGTCGGGGCCGAATGCTTGTGTGTCTCTTGCGGCACGGCACAGCAAAGTGTCGTGTGGCTGCAGCACTCCGACCGCGAAATCCGTCAGCAAATCAAATGTCTTGTCGGACTTAAGGGGCTACCCAGAGCGAGAACTTCGTTGATAAGGAGGATATACAGCATTCTGCGTAGCCCCTCGCAGCTTCTTCTCCCCGCGCGCGCAGCGCGGTGTGCCGTTGCGTTGCGTTTACCATTTCCAGATCCCAACAGCACGGAGAATCGGAGTAGCGGGCGCGGGGTCGCAGAGAAGAAGGACTGCTGGCGCGTGGACATTGTAGCCTTGTATTCGGGGGAGAAAAAAATTAGCGACGCAGGGAGAGCTTGCTCTCTCAGAGAAGGAAGGTGAGATACAAAGGTTTATGTGTTCCTCTTGCGCGCTGCCGTTTTTATTTTCCGGTCCCCCGCACATGAGAAAGTTCGCGGCGTGCCGCGGAGAGCCAAAGAGGCGGAGGGAGAGCAAACCAACCCCATGGCTGGGGCCTGTTGGACATGAGTTGCAGCGGCCGCTGCTGCTGATTGCTGATGTTCATAAGCTGCACGCCTGCTGCGAAGCGGTTTGTTCCAGTCCTACCTCAGGGAAGATCTATTTTTGTGAAGAGAGAACCCGCCGCTTGTTATGCACGATGCACGCCTCGTCGATTCGCTTTCATTTCCCACAAAAACCTACTATCACGTTACGCATGTCCCGTGCTACACGCAGCTCAGAGAGCGCGGAAGGCATGGAAGCGATTGCGAGATAGCCAGCTCTCGAGGCCGCTTTCTATCACAAGCAATTGCCGATGTGCCTCCTTTGTCCGGACTCGTGCAGCAGTGGCGGCGGAATACCTACTAGAGCAAGTAGGATCCAACGCACGACTGCTGCTGCTCATAGGAGGGAGGTCCTCAGAAAAAAAAACTGCCGCTATGCATGCACATATGGTGCCAAGTATTCAATTCCACCGGCAACATTTGCGGGCACCAAGAATTGCTCACACTCATGGCACAACTTGACCGCGCCGCGTGTACTTCAAGTACGCCACGTAATTTCGCCGGCTCTACTTCGGAGGAGCCCCCGCTGTTCAGATACCACAGACAAAAAAGCCCAAAGGCGGGTGTAATCAGGTTCCACTCTAAATCCGAGATGTTATTTTCGAGGTTTACCAAATTGTTAAAGACCTGAGGCTTGCGAACTCCCAGCGTGATGGTGAAAGAAAGAGGGGGGTTGAGGGTTGAGAGCATCAAGACGTAGGAAGAGATAAGATCGTTCGCTTCACCCACCAGTGGAGTAGAGCGAAAAACCCAAACCCATTAGACTTATGAAGGTTACCCATCTTAGCAAACAACACTGGTACAGCAGTATATAGTGATGTTGCATTTGCCTGGAGAAGTAGAAACGCGTGGGTTTGCCAAGTGCACCAGATAAAATTGAACAAACGGCATTTGAGCAGCCGCCATGGGTACAAGAGGGCGTTCGTTGTGCATGCTCTAAGCGAAAAAAAAGAGCACCGAAGGAGGGGCTCGAACCCTCGACCACAAGATTAAGAGTCTTGCGCTCTACCGACTGAGCTACTCCGGCTACTGCCTGCTACCGGATTAAACCGTGCAATTCCAAACGACGCCCGTGGTTTTGGGCCTCGTTCGAGCCAAAAGCGATTCTGTACAATAGAACGCCGTGTTCGGCGAGATACGGATATTTTTTGGCAAGTTACGGGAAGTCACCGCACTTCCTTAAAGTGTCTTGTACGGGAATAGTGTGATACACCGAGTTGTCCCAATGTCCTATAATACCGAACTTACCAAAGAGCCAGGCACGTTCTGCTTGCTTGTCATACTGGTAAACATTTAACACGTACATACCCCGTGTTTCCACACGGATGTCAAGGTTATTTTTCCCGTTGGCGCACCGAAATTCCCAAGAATTGCGGGTGCGGGTGTGGATGTTACAATGTACCATGGATCGGATCGGGTTCTACCGTACCTGGCCGGAAAAGGTTGATGGTACAACTTCCATCCTCGCACCTGACACTTTCGGCAAGCAAGTGCGGTAGGATTCCCCCGTAACTGACGCAGCTTACCGAACGCACGCCCGTGTCTCACCGACAAAACCGCCGTGCTGTTGAGAGCATCGGTACTACTGCTCGTTGAGGCCCGGGGTGTAGTGTGTTGACTATCTCCAAGGCAACTGCCGTATGCATCGCCAGGAGCCGGAGTAGCTCAGTCGGTAGAGCGCAAGACTCTTAATCTTGTGGTCGAGGGTTCGAGCCCCTCCTTCGGTGCTTCCTTTTTGCTCACAAGCACACACCACTGCACCGCACTTGTTTTTTTCCCAAAGTGTCCTGTTCGCAGGTATTCCGACCATGACGTCCCAATTTTTTAGTTTGGGTAAGGCACCTATGGCTGTTAGTGGCCAGAGTCGTACCCGGCCCCAGGCGCGGGGGTATTTCAGTAAAGGCCGTCGTGCTCCGTACACAAGGGTGTTTTTCCGTTGACGCAGAACAGAAAACCTTAACCCTTATGTGACTACAGGCCGATTCAGCTTCGTTCTCAGCTCCGATCACTTTGCGTGCCGAAAGATCGCCGTTGTGCCTTGGCTAAGAGCAAAAAACGTACATAGAGACCAGCAGGGAGATACATGCAGCCCACCCCAAAAGCATGCTTATCAGCAATGCGCACAGGACTCACATACAAGTACAATACTATTCACCCATGCCTAATCTCTCTGACGTGGGGCAGATATCCTTTCCAGATCCAATCTACTGCCTCCCGGCTGTCCAAGATTCAAACGCAAAATACCACCACTGGAGGGTACATACAACACCCTGAGCATGTGATCAACCCGGTGCCGCATCCGCGTGGGAGAGCAGAGAAAGCGCACACCGGAGCCAATGCTTACGTACTGCCTCGGTGCTTGATGTTGTTGTGATTGCGGTGCGTGTGGTTCCCAATATTGGGGGTGAAGGGTGGTTCATCTGCTGTGTGCAAAATTTCGCTCAAAGGCAAGGGTTTTCGGGACTACAGCTCCGATCACAGCTCCGATCACAGCTCTCTATTTGTAGTACAGAATAGTTAAATTTATCACGATGTTTATGCATTTTGTGCGATAGTGGATGATGGTCTCGATTCTCTGATGAGCGGGCCGTTTTTTGTCGATCTGGCGCTTCTGTGAGGCGGTTTCCCGTCAGCGTCTTCGCATCTAGCGCCGCTAGCATTTGCGCTTGCCGTATGCTCTGTCCAAGGATATGGTGGAGAAGATGTGCCAACAGGTATTGCTTGCACAGGTACATCCTCTGTGCGGATGGTTGCTGTCGGAGACAGGCATGCACACCTGCTCAGAAACTACTGCTGCTGTACAGCAGTCTATTTCTCTCCGCATAGCTGCTACTGCTGTACAGCAGTACTGTACTCCTGTTCGTCACCCTTACATATACCGCGTCCCCATCCCTGTGAGCCCCACACATGGACCCACTGCTGTACCATCCTTGCCGCCGTGAATTACGGGTGTACACGAATGCTTGGAAGATCTTTGACCGCAGAGAGTCAGTTGTGGGGAAAAAAACAAAAAAATTCAAATTAACCCAGTCACGTAAGGGTTAATGTTTCTCAAGAGCGTCGGAACACGGGTGCTATGTATGCATACCCGCGGAGAAATAACCCTTGGTTGCGGATATTGCCTTACACGCCTTGACATACGGTTGCTGTTTGTCAATTTGCGCATGATGTAGGGTGTACCCTGGTTGCTGGCGTAATTTGAATGGATGGCGGGAAAACCATCCAATCCCCAGAATCCTCCTCCCAGACGTTGTGTTGTTGTGGAGAGCGTGGCGGTGGTCCGGCATAGCGCGGGGCTGCACCACCCGCACCAACACAATCGCTCGTTCTTTGCAACACATCACCACACCGGTGTATTAGACAGCGCGTGGCGGTGCCACAATGTCAACAGCCCCACAGCAAAAGTTGTGTTTAATATATTGTGCATAATTTATGTGCCGGATTGAACCCCTTGCTTGACTTATCCCCCCCCCGGGGGACTGCACCGTTGCACAAACCCCCCACGAACAATGACGTGCATTTCTCGGGTGGCCCGCTGTGTGTTGTTTTGTGTTGTTTTTTGTCGTTCTGTTTGTTCGTTGTTTGCCGCTACGGCGTGTGTCTTTCTCTGTCTGTGTCTTTCTCCTTATCATTTCCTTTTCTCTCCATCTGCTCTCTTCTTTTTGGTTTTGTTCTTTTTGGTTTTGTTCCATCTGCTCTCTTCTTTTTGTTTTTGTTCTTTTTGGTTTTGGTTTTGTTTTTCTTTCTTTTTCCAGTCTAGGGACACCTCGCATAGCGTGTGGAGGCGAGCGGAGTGGCCTAGACTATCCGTCGTTAACTCATATTGACTTCGCGGACCCTTCGGCTCCATTTTTATGTACACGTTTCTTGGGTAAGATAGCCTGTGACCACGGGAATCGACCCCGCCAAGTGTTAAGACAATTTAGTACGGACAGAAGAACGGTTTTTGATGTGAAGACAGCAACAACAACAACAACAACAATATAGTTTGTGCGTTGGTGGCACACTCTCCCTTCGCTTGAAACCTCCCGCAAATGCGTGACGTCACGCAAAACCCCACTGTACATGAAATGCCCGTTTCCCGGTTGTGAACGAGACCTTGTCCGGGCATCAGGGCCATCCATATCCGTACCCGGCCCTGGGTATATCAGCACGGCTGAGTTTTTTATTTGTCTCAAGTTGTTTTTTCCCGCACGGGTATGCGGAACTGTCCAATGTTTATGGTATGGGCACGGGTATGGAAACCGTGCCTACTGCTGTAGCCGTCAAGTTCCTAATCTCCTCTTTGCTTTAGCCCTACAGCAGCACGTAGCAAAAAAAAATGAAGTATGCACCCACGGGGACGCATGTAAGCCATGCACCCACACCTTTTTTACCGACGGGAATCCTGTGTGAGAAACGGGCGTCAGGATCATGTATGCGTTTCTTCC